ACTTTCAAAAATGGCCGAAAAATCAAGGGATTGTTCTTGCTCTGAGCCTTTCAACTACACAGGGCTAATGAGGTCTTAATTGTTACACGTTGGAATTCTAATTTCTTTTGCAAAATGTTGTTTAATTACAGCTTGGAGCTGTTGGACTAGTAATCATTGCCTTAATAACAGACCATTGCTGTCAACTTATAATTAAATGCAAAAATGCCGCTGTGGATATGATTCTTAACTCAACTCCAAGATACCAAGAACTCCGAACAGAAGCTTTGTATGAGGAGATGGAAAAAGTCAAGGAGACTATTGAAAAGGAAATGACACTTGGTGACATTGGAAAAATTGCAGTTGGACCATGGGGATTGAGACTTGTCAACACAGCATTAATAATCACACAGTTAGGGTTCTGCGTTGCTTATTTCATCTTTATTGGAAGTACCATAGGAGAAATGTTTCCTCTCAAATACAAATCTGAGACTGTGTCAGTTGTAAATGCAACATTGTCTGAACCAACTAGTGCTACAAGAATGACCCACTACTCAACGATAGGGATGAACTCCTCTTCAGTGATACCTCCACTCCATAGCACTAAGACAGCACCTCAATTTTTCCTCCTTGTATTAATTCCTTTCCCTTTCCTTGTTGCAATGGCCTTTGTGAAGAGCATTCGTAAACTTGGACCAATCAGCGGTGTTGCTAATGTGACACTACTCGCTGGTTTTTTTGGGCTTCTTGCATTTCTGTTGAGGGGTAAGCACTAACCATGTACAACTGCCTAATGTAGAATTTCTTTAGTAAATGAAAATATTGTTAGTAGTAGTTGAATCTCCTGCCAGTTGTATGCTTTGTGTGGTTACCTAAACTGATTTTTCTCATTACTTCCACATTAATCTTGATGCTATGTGAAATTAGCATAAACATAAATGAATATAAAGTTTAGCTCCAAAGAAAAGACACATTTTATCAATTTCTTATCTGATCTGGTAGGTTTGAAGTTTAATCTGAAAGATGTCAGCTATGCCAGACTGTCCACCTTCCCAGTCTTCTTTGGACAGCTGACGGGAGCTTATGAGGGGATAGGAACTGTGAGTGCTGAATTTTTATTGTCAAAAAAATTTTTTCAACAAAAAACTTAAACTTTTTACTTTGTTGTTGAGCTTAACCTCATAATGTTCTTGTTACTTAAAATTTACAATAATTTTGTTATCTCAGTGTTTGACACATGATCACCATTTGAGGGCGAATTGGAACCTGCCTCGTGACTTATTTGGTTTGTGCATCTCAGTAATGGGCATCACAGGTTCATGTCCTGTGAATTCTCAAGTTCTTTCCAAGCTAGTTTGATTATTTTAATTTTAAATTAACTTATTCCTATTATTACTTACTTAGAAGTATCATGAACAAATATAGTTGTGGGAGAAAAGTGTTAAATAACAGAAGAAAAGATTCTCTGCATCTCAATCAGAAAAAGCTCAAGCCATTGAAATTTAGTCAAAGAATTCATGTCGATGGCATGATAATTCTGCAATATCTAGTATAAAATGAACACCTTGAACTCTTTGAGTTACTTAAAATTATGTTGTCAAATTAAATCCTCTTGTTATTTGTAGGTAATACCTATTGAATCCAGCATGGCGGAGAACCGGCCTCGTTTCCCCCTGTACCTTCACATTGCACTAGCACAAGTCTCTTTCATTCTTGGTTCATTTGGAATACTTGGTTACATGATCTATGGCAGCACTGTTCCACAGATTGTAACAGATAAGCTGCAGACAGGGATCGTGGCACAGTTAGTGCGGCTCACACTTATCATAGCTGTTATGATGACCTATCCTCTCCAACTCTACCCAGTTATCGAAATTGCGGAGTCTGTTTTATTCACTAAGATCCATTCCAAAAGTAAATCTCACCTTGGTGCAGTTATTGCAGGTCCAAGTATGGATCCAGATAGCAATCCAGTTTCTCCTGTGGACTCTAATAGCATTGACTCTCACCATCCTGTGTCAAACTCACCAGATGATTTGTCCACCAGTGTAAATTCGGAGACTCAAGTTCTTATTCCAAAGGAGACAGAGGAACTTCAGTTTAAGGTACAGTTGTATTCAGAGATAGCCAACCATCACATGGAACAAATTATGGGCATTTTTTTAACCTGTTTCACCCTAAGATCAATATGCATATTCTCCATACTATTTCTATGAATTTCCTAAGGTGCTGATAAGGAGACTTTGCTTAACAATAAATAACTCCTGTACTTGTTGATCATTTCCGTTATTCTCATGATCTTAATGATTGATTTAATTATGATATTGTAAGGAGACTTCTGGGTTTAAGGATTAAAACAATTTTCAAATAGGTGTGTTAAAACATGCTTTTTCATTTTTATTTAATTGGTGCAGTAGGCTTGCTTTGTGGGACTCAGTTTTAAACAATAAAAGGGTGTGGTCATGAAAAAAACCACCCCATAAAACATTGATGCTTATGGTTATGTAGAAAAACATGCACACTCAAGTAAAGCAGTGATCTCCTCAGGTGAGCTGCAATTTAAGCATTTGCAGAAAAGAAGCCAGTAATTCAGACGTGAGGCAGCATCCAAAAGCCAAGGGGGAAGGCACTGAATTGGGACATTTCAGGGTGATTTACTGGCCAAGAGAGTCTTAGACTCCAAAAGAGCATTGTGAAATTGACCCAAAAACAGAATTTCCCCCCCCCCCCCCCCAACATTCACTCTCAAGATCTCATTAACAATTCTTCCTAACATCTGCCATAAAATACTCATGATGTCAATTTGGAGAATTTGGCATTGTATCAACTTGTAGTCCCTAATTGAGTTTTCTTCTTTATTCCTTCACTTGACTGCCCGATATTGTATTGATGTTGTAAGGAGAAATTCTGTCTTGGTCACTGATGGGAGTGAAAGGGTTAAATTGCAGCTCACCTGAGGGGATCAGGGTTAAAATTAACTCCCTGGCCAAATCTATTAGCTGTAATAAGCATACTAGTAATATTATAATATTATTATCATGATTATGATTGAAAACTTTTAACTTGAAAAGACCTTTACTGCATTAGTCTTACATCCCAACCACAGTAACTTGTTATGAGCATGTAAGGTATGTTTGGAACTCTTATTTCATACTCAATAAACAGAGAGCTGTTTTCAAGCTTGTTTTAACTGTGCTTAACTTCTTTTGTTTCTCAGGCAGCAACTTGGAAGAGGAATTTACTTCGTGCAGTGCTAGTAACTATTACAGCAGGGATAGCCATTGCACTCAAGAATGAATTTGCCTATGTGACTGCTCTGATTGGTTCATTAGGAAGCTCAGTGTTGGCTTACATTCTACCATGCATATTTCACATCATCCTGTACAAAAACACCAATTCTGTAGCTGTAGTTATAAAGGACATTATTATTGTGGTATTTGGTATAGTTGGTGGAGTTGTGGGTGTGGTCATTACTATTCAAAATATAGTCAAGGATTTATCTTAGTAAACTGAAACTTGCCTTTCATCATCCAGGCTTCTAAGGTGGGACCTTTTTGGTCTTCATGATGAGAAAATTTTTCACAGCTGAATTAACATTGAAAGGGGCAGATTTGGCAAGCTGTGTCTGATGGTTATTGAGGAAGCTTTAAAATTTTCTCTCAGTACTGCTTAGGATCAGGATCTATTTGATGTCTTAAATCATAAAATGGTTGCCAAAGATAAAATTTTGGTTTCTAGAAAAAATAATGCTAACCATGCTGCTTTTTTCTGGAGTAAGCAGTATAACTGGCCTTTCTTATGTAAAGATTCACACAACGTCTTAAGGCTGAATCCTGAGTAGAAAGAAGTAAATTTTTACAGGAGAAAATGTCAGAGTAGGGATTGAGTGACATTTCATAAGAGATGTTTATCTCACTTTAACTAAGGTACACACCAAAAAAAACCATGTTATGATACATACACTTTGCTACATGATCATCAAATAGAAGTCTGCAAATTGGCCACTGGTCTTACAAATTTAGACACCAACATTTTACTGGTGGCCAGGGCAACCAAAATAGTAGCAGCTAGAAGTGTTGTAAAAATGAGATAAACAATTTTATACCACAATTCTTTTTTTTTTTGTATTGTTTTCACCAAAAATTTTCTCTTGTCAGAATATTAAGTGTTAAGATTTCCCTTGAAACAGCAAATAAATTTTTTTTTTGGGCAACTGAAATTTAATTTCTGATGACTTAATGACTGAAGGTCAACAAATAGCAACTTTGAAAAGGGCCTGGATTGAAAACCTGCTGTGTAACTCATATTGTTCTGAAAGTTGGAAAAATGTGAATGTAGGAATGTTTCAGAGTGTTTCAAAAGAAACAAGCCATGCAGATGCTAGAAAACTGTTCCTAACTGATAGGAACTGTCTTAAGTGTGTGCTTTTGTGGTTTGCCCATGTCTCCCAATCTTCAGTGTGATTGACCAAAACACTTTTAACTTTCCCAAAATATTTCAGACGTTCATGGTTTTTATATGCTGAACAGTAATAACCAACATTTTAGTTAACTTTTTAACTCCCAGGTCAAATTTGTAATTCTCCTTCCTGTCAACCATACAATTCTTATAATGTTAGTTCAGAGAAGTTATCATTGGATCAACTAATTATCCTCAAATTGATATTTTTCATTATTCCCATCACTTATCTGGTTGATATTGTATTGATATTGTAAGGAGAAATTATGTCTTGGTCACTCATGGGAGTTAAAGGGTTAATGGTGAGTCCCTCAGTTTCCTTCTTGTTGGATAAAATAAACAAAAATGGCTCAAAATGAGGAGAATGATAATTTTTTATTTAATTTAATTACACTAATGATTACAATGGAAATTTGGATAGGAACTAAAACAGAATATTTGACTAAAGGAGATTGGCACACAAGTGTTAAAATGATCTACACTAATTTGCAAATGTTATTGACAAGATTCATTAAAGATTTTATACTTTCAACAGATTACATTCAACATAACAAGGTTTACCTAAGTTTTTAAACAAATTTATAGTGTTTTAATTTATTTATAGCTTACCTGTGTACTTGATTTTATAATACACAATTATTGTAACACAGACCCAAGGTTTGATAATTGATGATATCATGAGAAATTGGTTTATCATTTTTTTAAAATGATCTGCAAAAGCAGAAACTTCACCCTGAGTTTTCAAAAGTTTGAGAATACTCTACGGATGGAGAGCTCAGAAACTTAACAGACTTTGAACTCAACATAATAAATGCAACATCTGCTGCAGAAATTGTATCATCATGTCAACTTCACATGCTATTCTGGTGGAGCTTGCAGAGCGTAGCCCCATAATTACACAAAATCGTAGTAACCCATCAAGGTGAAAAAATTTGGATGTATGACTGTACAAGGTGGTACTTTTAACATGCCACAGCACGCCAACGCCACGGCTTTGTTCAGTAATCCAGTGGTCAGTGCACTGGGCTCCAAGTTGGACTACCCAGGTTCTAGTCCTGGCCAGGGCAAGGTGTTGTACCCTTGAGATGTGCGGGAAAAAAAATGCAAGCTCCACTTTTAGGCTTGGCTAAATCTATATATTATATTGATTAAATAGAATTTAATATTGGATCAACCAATAATCCTTTAGTAATATTTTTCTCTATTCTAATCACTAGTCTGCTTAATATTGTATTCATATAGTTAGGAGAAATTCTTTCTCAGTCACTAATGGGAGTTAAGGGTAATCAGCCCTGCACATAAGTTAACCCTTTACACCCTAAGATCAGTATGCATATTCTCCATACTGTTCTCTATAAATTTCCTAAGGTGCTGAAAAGGAGAATTTGCTTAATAATCAAGAGCTCCATTTTCATTATTCTTGTGACCTTAATGTATGATTTAGAGATGATATTGTAAGGAGAAATTAGGTGCAAGTCGCTCGCAGAGGTTAAGAGTTAAACTCGACTTTTAATGGGGCCTCAAGAAAAGCACTTGTTTAGTTTTTAAAATATATATCTACTAGTTTTCCTTGGAAAAAATATTGAAATATTTTTACATATTTTTAAATAGAAAGCTTCTGCCATAAAAACTTAACTGGGGTTTGATTGTAGCACATATATTTTTACCTGTTTTCCCATGAAGAAAAAATTGATAGAAAAGTTTAGGAATGAAATTATTATGAAATAATGAGAGGTTATAGAGTTAATTTTATAGTGAGAATATTTTGATATTTTTACTTCATATTACTTAACCTGAGTAGGATGGAACTCTTTACTGAATGTTACGCAAACCTCTTCAGCATGTTACTGTAAGAGAAGAGATCACTTGAAACATTCTCATACTGTAACTTTATTGAATAAAAGTGTGAGAGGTAGTAAATTTTTTTCTCGCGTAGTTTATAAGGAGTTCTAAAGCAATCTTAGAAAAGGAACAACTTAATCAAAGAAAAGCACAAGAACTATGGTGGCTATTTTCAACAGTTTTCTTCTCTAGAAACTATTCACAGGTTCTAGATGACGGTCTCGGAAGAACTGGTGTCTTTGGTAAACTGAATCCTTTTTGGGAGCAAAAAAAGAAGTTATTGAAGCAGTCCCTGGTGGTGGGGAATCCTCATCACTGCCATCATCATCCCTGAAAATGTGATTTAAAATTACAAAAATCTCTATTAGAAAATGTGACAACTGAAAGCAGAATATCAAGGAAAGTCTCACACACATTTGTCAGTTTCTTGATGTCAACATGAACTCTATTTTTGTCACATAACATTCCATAGTATGGTCACAGAACTAGGTGAGTTGTTTTAAAACAATAGTTTTCAAATTTCCTAGAGTACCAGGTGTCCCCCATTTTCAGGGTAATACTTGCCTAAAGTCTGCAGAAATCAGCAAGAAAATATACCAGTGCTGTAAGAGCTCTGGACTCCCAGAGCTCACATGGTAGTGAAATTTTTCTTCCTCAATTTCTATTGACTTTCCCAACAGGGCACACTAGGAAAGTGGGACTGATTATTGACTACAATTTCCTTGTTAATTACTTATATTTATACCAGTCTGGACTATTTTCCAAAAGTTTCAAAATGAAGTAAAATTTGATGCATTTGAGCCATAATTAGAAGGTTTCATGTTTTTTTTAATGTTTTTTTTTAGGTTTTTATGTTGTCTCATACTTTGATAGAGATAACAATGGGATTTCATTGACTAACCATTTATACGTTTTTTCAGGTATGCTCTTACTGGTCAATAAGTGTGATCAGATGAGTGTGTAAATGCAGTTGAGTTTAGCTTTGCACATATTTTTAAGAAGTGTTCTGTGAAAGCAATTAAGGACTTCGTCCATGAAACAAAGCCTCATGTAGACACTCATGAGGTTGAAATAATTTTTGAAAGATTGTGGAAACTTTCGAGTGCATCTTCCAGTGCTCCCTTATCTAATGAACTATGCAGAGTAAATCACAATAAACTGGTCCAAAATAGATGTGACAATAAATTGGGCTGGTTCATGCATGTTAGCTGAATTGAATGCAGGTTATATTCATCTATTTCAAAGCTGAAACTCATGCAGAGTCTAGTTAATGAAAGGAGAGAGTTTTATTTAAGATACCAACAGACACCATGGTGTTATCCCCTAAATAAAATGGTTTCTGTGGTAATCACTTTTTTTTCACAAAACAATAATAACAAAAGATGCAGATAGCATACCAATGTACGTCAACAGCTTTGTTATCCAAAATATTATTACATGTTGACCAACTGAATCGCACCAGTTGAGGAAAGCCAAAGACCTTGTCAACTGAATCAGATAACCACTTCTTGGTGGTAGGATCTATAGCAGTAGAGAAAATAATTTTTACCTAAAAATGTAAAATGGAGTTCCAGCAATGAACACCCAGGGAAAACAGTGACATATCTTAGTGGTTTCATGCTTTGGAAACTGAGATTGGCTCTGCTGCCTTGTGTGTCACTTGGTTTAGGTGCAGACTTTACCAGGGACACAGAGAAAAGGAAAGTTAAAGCTGGCATGGGGAGGGATTGGGATTTTCGGTGGTGTAATATAACCTAACTATTGTTTCCAAAATGTAATTTTGTCAGGGTTGTTCTAAATCAGAGCTTCCACATGAAAACATTAACAAAGAAGAGAACTACTTGGATTGATGAGAAACAAAATCTTTGGATAGTTCTTACCTGAAGGATAACCAGAACCATGTTCATTACCAAATTCAATGTTCTCAGGAAATTTCCATTCTTTCAATATTCTGTCTCTGGCAACCTAGCAATCAGTATGGAAAAATAGTCTGACTCAGTAAGTTTGTTTGTGTGAAATAATATGAGCAAGTTAAGAGGCAGTGTAAGAAAGAGCCATATTCCTTTAACTGATTGTTTGCTTGTTGGTTTTCAACCTTTTAACATCGCACTCATTCCTTAACCTAATGGAATAGAATGATTCATAACTCTGTAAGTTACATTTTTTAGCTGCACTTACACATAAATATATGAAAATCTGCTTAATGTATACATTAAGTAATTAATGTAAAATCAAGTGTCTCATCACCTTTGCACAGATACTTGCAGCACTAACCACAGGGAACTTAGCATCAGCCTTAGGAGCCACAGTTATCTTGATTCCAGGAAAAATCTTTTGAAGTTTGTCTTGGTATTTGTCTGCTACTCCCACAGTGTCGACATAAATCTAAAAATGAATTCCACAATTTTAGAACCTTTTTATTGAACTGGCTTATTTAAAACTGAGTTAGAATAATTCTAGAGTAAAACTCAGTTATCATGGACAATTGTTGGGCACATTAAATCTTAAATCGCCATTATCCACAGGGGTTCTGATGTATGTCAAACAAACTTTGAAAACAATTGTAAATGATTCAGGGATGACTTGATCTCACCAAAGACTGAGTGGATAGTAAGGAGGTTCTTTTAATCTTGTGTATGTCACAGACCACTGGTCTCCATCAAATTTCATGAAGCATACTTTGGAAGCAGGTTGTGAGTGAGCTATTACAATTACAAGAAAATTGTTATCCAAGGAGCTGAGAGGAAAATTTACCTTTGTGGTGTAACCCCTATCACAAGGGATACCTTCAAAACTAGAAAAAAAAAGTTCCCTGGATATAAGTGTTCGGTACATGAAAATGAAAAATTCAAAGGTTGAGGGACAATTTGTTCCAGTCTGGCCCAAGGCTTCTCTCCTACATGATGATGTAAGAAGAGGCTACTCTGTAGTTTAAAATTGTACTGGATAAACTTAAAAAACAATAATAAAAAGGGAACTTTGACACAAACACCACAGATCAAACCAACTTATGTCACCCAAAACATTACCCCTATTTCTCCTTTACCTCATGGACATTAATGCCACTTGAGAGAAGAAGGTTTATTAGTCCAATGGCTGTGTCATGAGATATTTCATTCAGGCTGTATTTTGTTCTGGAAGTTAACATAGACACAGCTTTAATTTAATCAAATAAGAAAGATGATAAAGTTTGAGATTGTCATTAAAAAAAGAAATGCATCATTTGTCTTGCCAGGAACATGAGTGACACTTATGAACCTAATAAAGGTGTAGCTTATCACAGAGTTTTATGTACCTCAGTAATAGAGTATCAGAGTCTGAACCTTACAGGTTTGATTGTTCATAGGGATCCAGATTTTGTTCTTTGTCACATGCCCTTTACAATATGTAAAGCATCTTTATTTACAAGTTTTATTTGTTTTCAAGAGTGTGAAGGGCAAGGAAACAGGAGAACAGGTTCAAAAGTCATATAATTAAAAAAGAAGGTGGGTGGGGGGAGGGGGTGAGTTGAAACCCTCTAAAGGAGGGGTATGGATATTTTTTTGCAGCAACACTATGCCAAGCTCTCCATATTATGTAACAGTTTGTCCTTCATAGGTAAAGATGGATAGATGAAAAAAACAGGATCTTGTATGAACCAAATGGAAAAGTAACGAGATAAAAGTATTAAATGCCAGTATTTTAGACATAAAACCTCGGTCAAGCCCAATACGACCTACTGACGTAGATGTAAATGAAGAGAAAGTAACCGCAATCCAGTGAAATCCTGTTTTAGTAAACACTACTAATCCTAATCAGTTTGCTGTATTATGGTCTCACTGTATGGTGTTTGAGTACACAACCGAATGTTGAGCAGTTCCTGCCTCAAATCTTCCCTCCAACTGAAGAAAAACTGCTGTTTCTCAGAAAAAGCTTAATTCACCTTCTCAGCATACTGTTAGACAGGTAATTAGGTGATAAGATGTCAATTGCCCAACCAATGAACTCCTTGTTCTCATCAATGATTTTAAACAGATCCTCGCGCTGTTCCTCTGTAAGTGTTTTAGAATCTAATTGGAAAGAAAATAAAAAGGAAAATTAGCTACATTTGTCGACATTTTAAATTCTCGAATTGTTTCAACAAGATTTATCAGCTTACCTGCAACTCCAAGATTTTTCACTTTTTCAGATTTTGTCAGAGGAAAATAACAGATTCCGTAAACCATCGGCCCTACATATTTTACGGGAAAGATAAAAGTACCTTATGTAAACTTAAAGTAGGTCAAGGCTTCGAGCAAATGTCAAAAATGGCCACGTTTTACCTAGGACAGGTCCTCTTCCTGCTTCATCGATGCCAACACAACATGGTTCATTTAACGTTACTTCTGGTACCACAGATTTTAGGGTAAAATTTTGTGAATTATCTTGGAACGAACTGAGGTCCATTTTGTAGCAACTTTAACCTGTATTTCGCGCGTAATCGCGTAATATTGAAGTCGAGGCTCTTCACGACGGACGATTACGAATTTTTGCGAAAATATGACGGATGTTACCGAAGGTTTATTGACCTGGAATACAAAAGCGCGCGGGTTTTGAATAATTTTGATCCCAACAAGTAGGAATTCAGCCTTCAATTCTCTACCCTGCCTGTGAAAGCTATGGACAAAATGATGCCTTCTGAAGAAGAAGTTTTGCTCTTATGCATGAAATACGACAAGATGAAACCAACCGTTCACGATGCCATGAAAGACGCAGAGAATCTCAACAAAAACTTTTCGTCTGCTGGCGTTTCTTTGATCCTAGAGTGTAGATTGCTAACTGCAGTTGCAAATCATCCTTGTTTTCTTCCCGAAAATCCTCTTAATGCTGAAGTACAAGTGAATTCACTGCTCCCGTACCTGTCCTCCTCCTGCTCTTGGGTTCGATCCATGGCTTGCAGCCTTATGAGAGTTTTTGCTTCGCGATTGGATCCCAAAGGTCAGCACATAGAAACACAAGGTGAGGAAAATCAGACAGCTGATGAATAAGTCTTCAGGTTGTGTCATTTACGATATATCTGAGTGTGAACTTGTACCCCTCGTGGAGTGGTGGAAGTTTAAGGGCGCGAGGAGAGGCAATACCACTGTTGATAGTCTAAGGTTTTTAACGTAAGCTCCCCTCTTATTTAAAATAATCTACAAGAAACAATGGCCTTGTCGCAAACAGGCTGGCAAAATTTGCAACCTTTTGTCTTTCAAAGTGTTAAGATTTAATCACATCATGGCAATATTTACCCAGATTCCCACTAAATGAACGCCCATTCCCCAAGGTAACTTATTCCCACTCTAAAAATTTATAGGACCATTCACATTTTCTTTAATTTGTTTTTTCTGGTTCTCTGCTGTACTTTGATATATACAGTAGAAATCAAGTTATACCTTTTTGTGACACTGTATGATTAGTTTCTGCTTTTTTATTTTGTCATCTAGTTGTTATAGTTTGCAAAAATCTTCAGACAACTTATGAGGAATCTTTTGCGGTTAAGAATACAAGGTCAGAGCTGTTTATTTGAAAGATTATCAGCTTACTGTACAATTGTGTAAGTCACAGATGATGTAAGCAACTCAAACAAAGCTAATACAACCCACAGATAATTCATCAACCTCTCCAATTTTAGAAATAACCCACATGTTTTCTCCTCTGCTGTTACTGTCCTTCAAGAAAATGACCTCACACATGGGCCTTGTTAACCTGGAAAAAGATCAACCCTCATGGACCAACAAAATTCACAACTTTACCATGATTTCACTACCTTCCTATGTCACTACTTAACAAAGGCACTAATTCCATTCCTATGACATTGTTAATATCCACTTGACATATTGGTGAGTTGTAACATGTCAATTACTGCTCCCCCTATATTTTACATTATACAGGTTTCATCTTTGTCAAGTTATAGCCTGTTCATCACTTTGCTACATCACAATTTCCTGGGCAGCTCTCCTTCCCCTCAGTGCTATAAAGTTTGTTCTCTTAACTTTGCAAACTGTTCTGAGCATTCTGAACAATCCAGGAGAGTGTTCAAGTTCATTTCTTTATCAGGTAAGTTTTTGACAAATTAAAAAAGGCATGCAATATCAATCTTTTAGATTAATTACTTTACACTTTGGAAGACTGGTACCCACCCCAAACTTCTTTTGTTTCAAGAGGCTTCAAATAGTTAATGCTTGAATTTTACTCACTAAGGCAATCTTGATAATTGCTATGGCAATTGCAATTAATTTAGGAAAACAATAGGCCCTTAAGAACTAGGCTAACATCCTAAAAACACCACAGGCCTGACTGGCTGGCAGTTGTTTGGGGGCTCTATGAAAACAAAGGTGGCAGAGCCTTCAAAATGAGTAGCCAAGCTTCAAGTGGAGTCTCAAGTTTTGCCACTCAGTGCCTCTAAGCTTACACATAACCAACAGCTGAGAAAGCTCTAACATTAAGCCACCTCTCCCCCCTTCCCTTCCTGTGGCTCCTTTGCAGACTAGAGGTTGATTAAGACCAACAGGGTGAGAGAAAACCAAATGGTAAAAAACGTGGATAACCACAGGAAGGAAAGGATAAAATACACACAAATGCACCAAAACTGTGATATATAAAACTTTTAAAAGTCCAACTTGTGTACCAATTTTCTAAAGAGTGGGCCAAACGTTTATTGAAATATGCTCTTATTCTCAGATAGTTTATAATTAGACAGAACACTTTACAACCATGGAATATCTCTAATGTTACAGGTAGCTCTGGATGGTCTTGGGAAGCTACTCAAGTGTCCTGCAACATGGAATGTTTTATCAATGTTAGAGAAACAAGATACACTGACAAAATATATGGGAATATTTCTTGAAAAGGAAAGATCTACTGATGATGTCAATATAACTGCTCGGATGCTGGAGGTTATTGACGATGCTGATGTCCTTCATGCCATCCTGAATTTACCAGATAAACATGTTGTTGGAAAATTGGCCAAGTATTTACTGGACCTCTTACCTCCAATCACTTCATCAGCTGGTAAGTCTATGATAAAAACAAGGTAATTTTATGTTATCAACTGAGTTGATAAAGTAAATAATTGGCCACAGTAAAGAGTTTCAAAGTTGATGTTTCGAGTGTTAGCCCCACTCAATCACTCTGTTGAAGGGCTAATGCTTGAAATGTCAGTTTTAAAACTCTTATGATGGCTGATTTATCTTATCAACTTACTTGATAATACTAAATTACCCTGTTATAATCTCTCACCAATGCAGCACCAAAGTTAATTTTAATTAGAATTTTAGCCCCTTTAAGATAAAACAAGTCTTTGGTGAAGATATTATCCAACCTATATAATTACCACTGAGCAGATTGAATGCAAGGGAATTCTTTGAGTAAAAGTAATCTGGTTTTTTTGTCTTCTTACAGAAGCCCCACTCTTAGACCTCAGATGGAAGTCCCTGAGTATCATTTACACATTGCTTCAGCTGGCCAAAACTAAGGAACTCTCTCAACTGGATGTTTTATTTGACAGAGGGTGTTGTGATACTAAAAAAGTTAACAGACTTTACACTGTAGTAAAAAGGAAATTTAAGTTTGAGTAATTTTCTTACTCTCTTTCCCTTCATGTATAATTCTCCCACTGTTGTAAATATTAATAACATGAAAAACAAAACAAGACAAAAGCAAAAACAAAACATAACAGAGAAGCAACTTGAATAAAAACTGTCATACCAAGGAAATAAATTTTGGTTTTTAGATCCTAAGAGATGAAAATTCGAAAAGACTTTGAGCGAAATTATAGATGTAGGAAAATTCAAAATAATTTCGAACGTAGACTGCCCCATGAAAAAAATATATTAACTGTTACGTGACAACCCTTGTCACGCAATAATTTCCCTTAGTCCTCTATAATTTCTCCTCCCGAGAGTAAGTGAATAGCAGAAAAGCTAAGGTCAGGAAAAACAGAATGTCGCTCGCCAAAGCTGTTGTTTTGGATAATGGGTCTGATACAATCAAAGCGGGATTTGCCAAAGACGAGTCTCCTCAAGTAGAGTTTACCTCCGTCGTTGGTCATCCAAAGTACGCGAAATTACAAGAACAAGCAGATCGCGAAGATCCGCTCGTCGGAAATGGTGCCTTGGATAAGAGGGGCGATCTGGATCTTACATACCCAGTCAAGAACTCGATCATAACTAACTGGGAGGACATGGAAACGGTGATTTAAATTCAAATTGTGTCAGGATCTAATAAGGAAAAGTTAAAACAATTATGTATTAAGATATGAATGTTATGTTGCAGATCTGGCATTACACTTTCGCCCAGCTGGGTGTAAGTCCCGAAGAACGCCCCGTTCTTCTGACAGAAGCACCATTTAATCCACAAGTAAACAGAGAGAAGACAACAGAGGTAACTGAAAATAGTTTGTGAAGCCTAAACAGATATCTGCACAGAGCGAGATGTGCTGGACAGCTTATATGAATTGGGTGGTCAGTCCACAGTCACGCGAACGAGAGATCAGAACCACTTTACGCCTAAAGCCAATAATTTCGAGATATGGAAGAATATCAATCAATAATCAAAGCATCTTTGCAGTTTTCCGCCAATGAAATATTCGAAAAAATGTCTCAATAAAAATATACAGGACTTAGGAGGAGTGCGAATATGGCGGCCGGAAATTCAGGCAAACCTATCAAGTGTCTAGTTTCGCTAGGAAAGCATCGCCGTAGCTCCATTTTGACTTAGAAAAATGTTCGCCCAAGCTTTTCAACAATGCCCACCGAAACATTTTGCCACTGATATAGGATAGGGACGAAAAAAATTGGTAAAGGCGATTTACGAGGATGCAGAGACTCAAAATATCTCTATTCAGGTTTAGTTTTTATACTCTAAACAATGCCAGCGTGGGAGGCAAGTGCTTCAGTTAATTTCTGTTATCTCTATTTCAATAGATCATGTTCGAGACCTTCCATACACCAGCGATGTATTTAGCTCCAGCACCTGTCCTGTCTCTCTACGCCTCTGGCCGTAAGGATGGTATCGTCCTCCAGAGTGGTTTCGGCGTCAGTTACGCCGTCCCTATCAGTGAAGGTTTCGCTCTTCGCCAGAACGTTTCGAGTCTCGATTTGGCCGGTACGAATTTGACAGATTATCTCACAAAGATTCTGGGCGAACGGGGCAAGACTCTAACCGAGCACAGATTAGCAAGAGATGTTAAAGAGAGGCTTTGCTATGTCGCTCAGGACTTTGAAAAGGAGATGAGTACTGCTGCCTCTGATCCGAGCTTGCAGAGAAGCTATGAACTCTCTGATGGTCAGTTTGTCACTCTTGGCGACGAGAGATTTAGATGTCCCGAGGTTCTGTTCCAGCCCTCCATGGCTGACAATAGTTTGGCGTTGTCACCCGGCATCCATCAGCTCGTATTTGAGTCCATCGTGAAGTGCAACGAAGACATCAGAAATGAAATGTACGCCAATATTGTCTTGTCTGGTGGCTCCACTATGTTCAAAGGAATTGCCGAAAGAGTGCAGAAGGAGATCAATGGACTCGCCGGGGCTTCACCTACAAGAAAGGTCAAGATCATTGCTCCTCCTGAGCCTAAATACTCTGCATGGATTGGGGGATCAATCCTGGCTTCGTTATCGGATTTTCAGTCCATGTGGATCTCTAAGCAAGAATATGATGAAGAGGGTCCCGCTGTTGTCAACCGCAAATGCCTATAGCTACGACGTTAGCTTTGAGTTGTTGATGAATATAGACAAAACTTGATCTAATGAAGAATAATTTAGATGTACACAGAAAGATTTGTTTCAGTGTCTATGTGTTAACTCTAAAATGATCACCAACTGAGGTACTTCTTGATCCATGTGCAAATTCACCTTGTTAACATAAAGGAAATATACAGAGAACAGTATGGAGAGTATACTTAGTTATCAGGTTGCTGTGTGTTCACTGAAGCCCTTCCCACCATGCCACTCCTCAAAACAGATCTCCTCCGAACGCGACTGAATTTAAAAAACGGCAAACAAAAACAAACAAATAATAACGAGAAAAATGAACTTCGTTGCAAGAAAGTAAATCGTAAGTACAATACGTATAAAAAATTTGGCGCAATTCCAAAGATAAGGCTGCATGGAATCTTTTATAGATCGATTTCCAGCAAAAGAATACTTATTTTTAGGCTTTCGTCGATCTCAGGTCCAGTTGATACCAAGTAGTTTAATTTCCAGTCGCTATTTTGGAGATGAGTTTTGGCCGGGAGTGGTTAATCTGAAATTGTAATGACCCAAAAATCGCTAGGCAGGTAGCCGACTGAGTGACAGTTCTACCACTCATGCATGTTAAAACATGACGTTCAAACAGGTGGTAATCAGGGATAGGTGAATTGATAGATCTAAATACTAAAACACTCGCACTTTTTGTTTCTTAACAATTAATAAATAGATTATCCACAAACGAATCCTTTCATTTTGCCCTCACGAAATCGCAGTTATTCTTTTAGCCGTAAATTCTTCCCTTTTGCATTGGTTACCGCAGCAACGTGACAACTACTGGTGCCCTTCAGTCGAAAATGTAAATTGTATGATCGTAATTTTTTGTTTCGTTAATGAATCGATTCCATCGACGAAAGCCAAATCATCTCGCAATCTACTGTTTTATCAGTTGTTCATCATTTTCTATTTTTCCTATCTTCTAATGGCGCCAGATTGAAAAATCCTCGAGCAATAAACCGACGAATTACAAAATTGTGTCGGTTGATGTTTAACGTAAGCTTTACGACCGTACCAACTATAAAGGCCGCTGGCACGAGATTTGCCTTTGCGTTGTAATGTTTATATTTTTCCTCAAATAAAAGTCATAGAGGTTTTTTTCGCTGGAATTCTTCGACAGCTTGAAGTATCTCGTTCATTTCCTTCTCCAAATCATCTGCCAGCTCTCTTAACTTTTTAACCGCCTCTGGCTCCTTCTCTTTCTTTCCTTTTCGAACGGAGTCAATCTCCGTAAAGGAAGTTACCATAGGGTAAATGTCCAAAGGGAGAAGTGCAATGCTCACTGCGAATATTCCAATCCGAGCGGTGTTTCCAGCTATACCTATAGATCGGAGTATTCCATCCATACCCTCACTTGCCACTGTCGTTGCCACACTAGCGCCGGTCATGTTTATTCCGTTACTCACATCGACGAGGTTTTTCACCAACAAGGCGACGCTTACATTACAAGCGAGACTATTTTTCACGCTGCTAAACGATTCTTTAGATACTTCACGACAAAGGTCATCTAAAAGCCTCTGCACAGGTTCCTGTGCTTTGCGATCGGCGTCGATGATTTCTTGCGCCGTCGCGAGCTTTGTTTTGAAAATTTTCGATTGTACAATGCTGGAACCAGCCACAGTAGCGCCTCCGCCGGCGCAGATCGCTCCTCCAACCGCAGATAGAATCAGTGAAGTCCCAAGACTGACAGCAGCGAGACCGAACCCCGTAGCGGCTAAAACAAAGCCTCCGATTGATGCTGATGAGCCCGAGATCTTGGCAATGTGAACATTCTTGTAATGTTCCATAAGTTCATCTGCCAGGCTTCGCAATGTTTCAATCGTTTCTTGGCGTTTTACAGACCATTGACGAATACTGCATGTCAACTGCGTGGTGCAAGTCAC